AGAGGGCATCCCTGTCTTGTTCCAGATTTTAGAGGGAATGCCTTCAATTTTTCTCCTTTCAGAATGATGCTAACCTAAGGCTTAGCATAGATTGCTTTTACAATGTCGAGGTAAGTTCCTGTTATCCCTAGTTTTTCTAATATTTTGAGCATAAAGAGATGCTGTACTTTGTCGAATGCTTTCTCTGTGTCTATCGAGATGATCATATGGTTCTTATCTTTAAGTCTACTGATGTGGTGAATAACATTTATTGATTTCTGTATATTGAACCATCCTTGCATCCCAGGGATGAATCCTACTTGATCATGGTGCACAATTTTTTTCATGTGTTTTTGTATCCGATTAATCATTACATTTTAATGAGTTTCTTGTAGATATTATGTAGTTTAGTCGTGTTTTAATTAGTGTATTTATACCATATATTTTTAATATAATACTGATATGTTAAGGCTAAATCCATCCTTTTATTTTTTTATTTTATGTTGTACTATTTCTCATTTCTGTTTTATTTTTCTTGCAATCCTGTGTGTTGCTTGAATAGTTTTTAGAATTCCATTTGGTGTATATTTTGGTAGAGTTTTAAGTGGTCACTCTAGGAATTACTTTTTTAAATATGTTTTTAGTTGTAGATGGGCACAATGTCTTTATTTGTATTTATTTACTTTTATATGGTGTGAGGATGGAACCCAGGGCCTCAAGTGTGCAAAGCAAGCATTCTACCACTGAGCTACAACTCCAGCCCTCTAGGAATTATTTTATATAGTTTAATGTGAAATATTTGATCATTAAATTCTTACCTTTCTTCTTTCCTAATTAAGTTCCCAAAATTATACATTTACTTCTAAGCTCTGCTTATGGTATTTTCCACAGTTTTTCATATTTTGGGCTTTGGTTTGGTTTATTCAGTTTGAACTTGTACCATGAATCATATAATTTCCTACTACTTATAAATTACATAAATACTATAATTGATTTTTAATTAACACTTTTATAGTCAGAAATTATGCTCTGATTTCAATGTTGAAATTCGCTGAAACTTACTCTGTAAACCAACAAATATTGGTGAAACTTTGGTGTGTACTTTAAAAGAATGTGAATTTTGTAGTTATTGGGTATAGTGTTCTATAAATGTCCACTTAATCATTGTTTGAAAGATATGGAAATTTTTGTCTAATGGATCTATGAGAATAATGTTTAAAAACTCCTACATGCTGAGATTTCACTATTTCTCCTCTTAGTTCAGACTAGTTTTCCTTTCTGACAATACTGAGGCTGTTTCCGTATCTTGGCAACCCTAACTACACTGCAATGATCACAGGAGTGCAAATGTCTTCAACCTGAGATTTCTTTTCTTTTGACAAATTTCCAGCAGTGGGATTGCTGGATAATATGGTAATTATTAATGGTCTGAGGAATCTCCACCCTGTTTTCCGTAATGGTTATACTCATTTACCTTCCCTTTCTCTAAAGCCTCTCCATCACTTGATATCTTTTGTCTTTTTGATAAAGCCATTCTTGGCAAGTGTAAGGTGATATCTCTCTTTGTGGCTTTAATCTACATTTTTCTGATGATTGGTGATGCTGAGCATTTTTTTCATATCCACTGACCATATGTATGTCCTCTTTTGAGAAATGTCTGTTCATATCCTTTGTCAGTTTTATAAATGGGTTGTTTTATTGCTCTTGAGTTTTCTGGATTCCTTAAATATTTTGGAGATTATCCCCTTATCAGCTTATGCTTTGTGAGTATTTTCTCCCAATCTATAGGTTTTCTCTTCATTCTGTTGATTGATTTTCTGGTTTTCTTGAAGCTCTTTAGTTTAAGGCAATTCCATTTGTCTATTTGTTTTTATTTTCTGAGCTTGGGGGAGCCATATCCAAAAAACTCATTGCCCAGACTAATTTCATCAAGAGTTCCTCCTATACTTTCCTCTTGTTGTTTTACAATGTCAAGTCTTAAATTTATCCACTCCAAGTTGAGCTTTGTACGTAAGGGCCTAATTTCATTCTTCTATCTGTACATATCCAGTTTTCCTAGTACTCTTTACAGAAAACACTACCCTTTCTTCACTGTGTGTTCTTGGCGTCTTTGTTGAAAATCAGTTGGCCATTAATGTATAGATTTATTTCTGGGTTCTCTATACTGTTTATTGGTTTATGTGTCTGTTTTTATGCTAGTACCATGCTGTTTTGAATATTACAGCTTTGTAGCACATTCTGAAACCAGATAATATGAACACTCCAACTTTGTTGCTTTTTGCTCAAGATAGCTTTGGCTATTCAGGGTCTTTCATGATACAATACATATTTCAAAATTATTTTTATATTTTGGTAAAAAAAAATCAGAATTTTGATAAGGGCTTCATTGAATCTGTAGATCATTTTAGGTAGTATAGACATTTTATCAATATTAATTCTCCCAATCTGTGAACACAGAAAAGATATTTCCACTTATTTGTTTCTTCAGTTTCTTTCATCATTGTTTTATAGTTTTCAGTATCCAGGTCTTTCACTTGCTTTGTTAAATAATAAATTTTTTATTTATTTAAGAATTTTATTTAACTATTATAAACAGTATTTTTTCTTGATTTATTTTTTTCTTGATAGTTTATTGTCAGTTTATGAGAACACAACTGATTTTTTTATAGAGATTTTGTTCCTGCAACTTTAATGAATTCATTGATTAGTTCTAATAAATTTTTGTTGGCATCTTTAGGGTTTTCTATATAAGATCATCTCATCTGCAAAAAGGCAACTTTGCTTCTTCCTTTCCAATTTGGAGACCTAACTTTTTGGTTAGGACCATGTTAAACAGAAGTGGCTTCAGTGAACATGCCAGCTGGTTGGTTTTCTGAGTCCAGGAGATTTTGTTCCAGCTGCCGCCCTGCCAGTCTTCAGCCAACACTGTCCTGCCTGAGATGAAGTCCCTATGTGCCTAGCGGGTCTTCCTCAGCTTCCTTTGTCACATTACTGCCTTGTAGACCTGCACATTTTGGGGGATAAAATTGGGTTTCTCTTCTTCTGGCCCTTGGGCGATAGCAGTCCTGAACTCAGTGAGGGTTCCATGCGCCTCAAGGGATGTCTCCCAGCTCCTCTGTTCTGTGCCATACCCTCAGCTTAGACTCTCTTTCACTCGGTGAAGGTCCTGTGCACATCTTGAGAGATTTATCTTACTCTGCTCTGTTGTCCCAGCCTTAGGCACAGTGCCATTCTGTGAAGGTTCCATGGGACTTCACTGTGACTAGAGCTTGCTGCTTTGAATTCTACGCCCTTATGCTAGCCCTTGTCTGTTAAATGTGGTTAAAAAGCTTTCCTCCTTTCTTGTCTTCTCAATCTATGGTCTGGTTACTCTTCTTTTGCTATGGACCCAGCCTTTAGATTTTTTGAAATCCTCATTTTTCTGGTGAATTTTTACATATTATTAATTTTGCATCTCATACAACTTAATCTTATCATTATACCTGCCTATATTCTGGCTGGAAGCAAAGGACTTTACCTCTTATTCCTTTTTTAAAAAAAAATATTATTCATTGCATATTATTTTTATTAATAAAACATTAACATGTTTATAGAAAATACTAGATAATATGTAAAATATATAATGAAGACAAAAAATCCTTCCAAGTTCTCACCAAACAAAAGAAACACTGCTAGCACCTTAGGTATTTTTGTCATTCTTTTTCTATATACTCTATCCTATCCTTTTAAGGATCTGAATCCTAAACTTATACTTAAGTTTTTTCCAGATAATTACATGACAAAAGAATTTTCCAATGCCACAAACTCTTTATAAAAATACATATTTGGGCATACTTAGCCAGTTCCTCTCTTGAAATTTAAGTTCTTCAAAATATTCACTGTAATGACTTATTATTCAATGAACATTTTTTTCATTCAGTTTCTCCACCCCAAATCTTTATACTTAACCGTAGAAGTGAAATTATAAAATCAAAGGTTATGACCCCTTTGAGGTTTTCAAATATGTATTGCTAAATTGCATTCAAAAGTACATACAGCCTTTAGACATGAGATATATTATATGATAATTTATGCAGTATGCCGTTGTTTCAAATATCATACTCTAAAGAATTTAGTAACCTGTGGCCTATCATTAGAGTTCCTTCTCTTCTTTTATTAAAAATAATTACCTCATTTGGCCAACAAGTGATATGGAAATTATTTAGAATTAAAAAAAAATTCATGCTAAAAATAGTTTAGTATTTTCCCAATAGTGATGTGGCACTTATTCTTCTATCAAATTATGGGTCATTTATTCTCGATACATACTTTTTCAGTTTTATACATTTCCTTTCTTACAAAAATTTTTATATTAACCATTAATAATTTATATCTCATAAATAAGGAACATCATTTTGCCTGATCGAGCATTAAACTTTGGGAGCCATCTAGTTTTCTTATTAGAGAATATTTGGTGTGGCTTTTTTCTTTTTTTGAGTCTTCTTAAATTATACCTTAAGGTTGGTAAACAATTGAAAATATGATTTTCACTAAGGAGATAAAATTAATTTATGTTAACAAAATTCTTAAAGTTTTAGTTAGCCTTTAAGTCATTTTTATAGAAACAGAATATATCTTATGTTTATTAACCATTTTTTATTATTTTGATACTTAGAATATGCATTAATCACAAAGAAATGGTTGTAAGATTCGAGTTCTGGTTGGGCGGTTGGTGCACACCTGTTATCCTAGGAACTCAAGAGGCTGAGGCAAGAGGATCACAAGTTGAGGCCAGTATCAGCCACTTAGCAAGATCCTATTTCAAAATTTAAAAAAAAAAAAATTTAAAAAAAGGACTGGGGATGTAGCTCAGTGGTAAAGTGCCCCTGGGTTCAATCTCAGTTCTAAACAAATAAATAAATAAGATTAGAATTCTGTGTGAATAAAACAATGATTTAACAGCCAATTGAAAGCTGTCGAAGAACTATCTTTGTCATCATTTAACACACAGCTAAAGATCATCACGGAGTACACTAAATACCGGGGAGTGCTTGTTTTCGTCAGGGAAACTCCAATCATTCTGAAGTATTTATATTAACTCAAAGTTAGCCTGAGTTGCATCGTAGAATCTATAAGAATCTCCTCATATTGACTATTTTTATATAAAAAATTTCAAACCTTGAAGTACGAAACTGAAGGTCTTTAAACAAGCTATCAAAGAGCTCATTAAGATATTAGTACTTGATGACAGAAAAGAAAGTTAAGAAAATTCAACCTATTTGTAAAATTGAACAAAGAAACCTTCAATTCATCACTTCTCTCTACTGTTCTCTCTCCACTCCCTCCCAAAATCAATAGGCACTAAAAAAAAAAAAAAGTAAAATGTGAGGGAGTTTATGTACAATGGACAGTTCTTAGGGCCCTCTTAAAAATTACTTATCCATCAATTTATCATATCCATTCCTAGCATCACAAGCATTTTCATCCCATATCTCTACTCACAGGTCAAAGGGATAGGAATTTGAGGATGACTTTTAAAGTCTCTAACATAACTTAAAAGTAACTCTAGAAGTTTTTGAAGTTCACATATGATTGCTATACTGCACACAATGCTGATGTGAAGTTAGGACCCCGGGGCTCTGCTCTAGACCCTTCCATCAGCAAGCTTTAACCAACACTGCATCTCTGGTTCTCAGTAGACTCACATCTGTGAAATAAAGGTATTGTGCTGCAAAACTCAGATGATGCTCTTGTTCCTCTTGAATGCTACTGCTCTAACCTTTCATCTACTAATGAAATCACCTTCAGGCAAATCTTATGAGACAGAAAATACCTCTCTAAAATGCAAAGGTCCTTCAGGATATAGAGAATGGAATGAGATGTAGTCATCCATAAGTAACTAAGAATAAATCATGAATCATGCTGCTGGCTACCTATGTAGATTTTTATATACAGCATAATATTGTATATATAATATTATATATAAAATAATGTGACAAAATATATACACACAGTTATTTATAAGTATATATGTATGTATCTCAGCTAGGAATCTCTAACTTAAGGAAAATACCACAAAGTTTCAGATGCATCTAAAAGGATTCCAATATTGCTTTTACCTTTGATGGTATGTGTGTCATAGAATAAAATGGTTTTATATGTAATGGTTGACAATCAAGAATTACATAAAAGCATTATTCTGCTTTTCCTTAGGGATTCACAAATTCAAAAACATGATTACCTTTCCTATGCTGATATCTGGTTGCAGAAAGCAATCTGAATAATTAGCCCATGTTTTATTTGAGCTGTGAATAAAATCCCATGTTCCGTTGGGAGTGCAGTGTCGGAAGGCGGTTCCTGTAAAGACATGGAGGGTACTGAGATGCTCAGTTTCAGTTCCCATAGAGTCTGTTACCAAAAAGGAGGCAGAGGAGGAGAAAGACAATTTCTTTTTCAAATTAATAGTTTCAGAAAAACTCAATACCTTTATGATTGAAGTCATAAATATAAGGAGGGCATGGGACAGCTGATATTTTCCCCACTGTTCCTCTGGGCCAACAAATGAGTCCATCCCATTCTGGGAAACAATTACCTTCTGATGGGAAAAAAAATAGAAAGCAAATAAATTAAAATTAGAGAACAAATGCATTCAAAATGCAAAATTTCAGATCACTGCCTGTGGCAAAAAGTAAAACAAACTGGTAACTAACATGTAAATGTCCCAAAATTCACTTACCTGGTCTCTTCATAGACCCATTAATAGGAAACTTTGATTAGCAAAATTAAAATATTCAGACTATTCCAGTATATCCACTATAGTAGTTATAGCAATTGGTATATAGAAAACACTGGAAACCACTGTGAACAACTATAGTATAGTTCTTCTACCTGTCATATATACCAGCAACATTTTTACTCTAGATTTTTTTTTTAAATGCTGTTAAAGAACATGACACACAAAACAAATTTAAGGCTCAGGTTTATCTTTTTTACCTATAATTTCTTTGAGTCTAATATTCATCTCAAACAAAATTCTCATAAGTTCTGTGGTTCTCAAGATGAATCCAGAGCCTTGTCTTTCTTATAACCTCCACTGCCACCATGACAGTCCACAGCCACCATATGTCCAGCCAGAATTACAGAGATAGTCTTCGGCAGGTCTCCCTGATATTCATATTCATTCTCTCTCTCTCTCTCTCTCTCTCTCTCTCTCTCTCTCTCTCTCTATCCAGGAGTCTTTTAGGTAGACTGGAGCCATCCAGTCCTTCCCCACCCCCCTTTTGCTTGCAGTTCTCAAGATTAACTATGTAGAATGTGCTAGGGAGACTGGCTA